TGTGTGTGTGTGTGTTTGAGGTCCGGAGAACCCGTGGCTGGTCCAGGCTTACGCCCGAGCCGCAGTACACCCGTTTGCCACAGTGGTTGGTCAGGAGATTTTCCAGAGCAGACTCATTCCTTCAGACACAGACTTCCGCATCTTCAGGGACTTTGGGAATATTCCTGGTATGAGATACACACTGTATAAAAATTAGGGTAAAAAACATGGCAGCTGTGGTTGCCAGAACTTTACCATACAACAATACAGAATTAACAAGTTTTACAGATTAAAAGCATATTTACAGTAAAAACATATTTCATTAAGTGATGTATTGCTGATATTGCTAATGAGTAACCCAGGAGTGCTGACTGAGACTGTCAGATCATGTTTAAGACTTTCTTAAGTGCAAATCTTCTTCGTCTCATTCTGCAGGAATTGATCTTGCGTTCATAGAGAATGGTTTCATCTATCACACTAAATATGACACTCCGGGGCGAATCCACACCGACTCCATCCAAAGAGCAGGTGAGACGTATGATTCCTGATCAGCCTCATATGAAGACATTAGGAAATAAAACATCTGCTTCAGAGAGAATGAAGTTCTCAGCTGCTGCTCTGTTCAAGATGCTCGAGATACTGAACGAGAGAAAATCAGACCTGAGACGAGCTGCACTCTCATTATACATACAGCGAGAGTGTGTTTGTGTGAGTGTGTGTGTGTGTTATTGCTCAGATAAGACGTCTCACACTCAGAGCTTTTACCTGATCAGCAGTCAGACGAACCAAATCCAAGATGGACGCTGTTTTAAGAGGATCTTTATGCATAGAAATACGTCTTAGGGCTAGATTTACTTTTACTAAGCAGGGCAAATGAGCGTGAGAGCGCTATAATGCCATAAAAGAGCAGATGTGAGTGTAAATGTCTGCAGGTGATTTACTGACAATGAGCACATTAAAGAACACAGACACAGATCATCTCCATAATGACCAGCGTATTCTACCAAGGGCAGGGCAAATTAACATCTGCTTTAAGACATGCGTTAAATAATGGCACAAATACCAGTTAACTGACAAGTGCAAACCTTAGTAAATCATGTTGCGTGATTCATTTAAATACTTTCCTGCCATAAATTTAGTGTAAGGTCCGCGCACCT